TACCCTGTCAATATCCCTCGTGCCCATACTGGGATAGCAGTTACATACACAGTGTGGCAGGCACACGACATAATCATTAATAAACTTATTCTCCTATAATGGCGCGACGCGAAATAAGGGAATTTTTTGGTTTTTTTTGTTCGTCCCCAAATTGAGATATGGGGATTTTCCCAGGCTTGATAGTCTGAGTGGAAAACTAACTAGAGTTCATGCGAAGGAGGTTTGGCTAATGGTCCATTTGACCACGATACATTTAAACGTTTTTCTTATTCTATTTCGTACTTCTATTCTATTCTATTCTCATATCTGTATTTCATCTTTCTCTATTCTCATTAGCGAGTTTTCAGTGGTCAATTTGGTATTGTATTCAATATCATAGGTTTTAATTTTCTAATTCTCAAAACATTTCACACATCATTTCCCTTCTCACAATTGTGCTGACACGCTATCCAGGCTCATTCCTTTACATGTATATAAAAAAAAAATATAAAATTAATAATCAGTCCACGGATTAAATTTTAATGTCATACCAGTCGGCCACGTGAAAAGTTTGTTTGTCGGTATACTGTTTTTTACGATTAATAATTAGTTTTATAAACAGCGACTATAGGGCAGTAGATAAGTTAAGGGAGAGGAGACAAATAAACTAAATTCAGCCAATCAGGAATGCTTTATTGTATACTGGTCTTCCTATAATATTTTCCCTATAAGTATCGGGACCCAGGGGTTTAAGTTTTCTCGGTGGTGCATTGTTATGGTCTAATTTCCACAGCTCATATTTGCTACTGTAAAGCACAATAATGTGTCATATTTAATAATCTTTTATTAACCAAGCTTTGCTCAGGGGCGCGTTCGTTACTGGGAGAATATCGGCCGAGAGTGATGGATAATAGTAATGGAACACCCCTCGCTGCGCTCGAGTCGCTTAATAATGTAACTTGTCCAAGGCCTTGAGGACTCGAGTCGATATGTTACTCCAGTTTATAGATTGCAAAACAGAAAACAGTCTCACTTATTTCGTTTCTTCATCATTTGAGGATATTATAGATTCGTTGATGACGGACGGAGAGAGAATCGAGACACGCTTTGAGTCGAGCGCCGATATTTATAAATGCACGCACCAACAGAGCCTCGCGATACGACCGCAGGCCGGTAGGAGGGGGAGGTGGGCGGAGGAGCGATCGGTGAGTGCGAGGGACCCTGCTTCGAAATAAACAAAATTCTTGCGGACATTGTTTGTAATTGACACAATTTTAAATCAAAGAGAGATATTTCATTCATACAATGAAATATGAATGCTTTAATTGAACTAGATATCAGCTGTAGGAATTGGTGAGAATATGTAATGAAATGAAACAAGTCGTGAATCATAGCAAAACAAATACACTGCGTTATTTATAAAATAGAAAATGGCTTCTATAAACTAATGGAACAGCCTTTCAACATAATGGCTAAATATATAATTATTCCCTCAGGTAAAGAAAACAAAATTTGCTTTTGTTCTTTGGAAAGATAGCACGGAAAAAAAAAGACCTAACTGAATACAACTGAATCGAGTCATATCGTACAGACAAGAAATTTGGAAAATTCAGGGAAATATGAAATGAAACAACTGTGGTCCCGCGGGCATATAGCAAAACAAACACTGCGTGGAAAAATCAAAATATTAGTTTCACCAATCTGAACCCCAAATACGCTTTCACTCATAGAGGACTGAAAAAAAAAAAAATTTTATACTCCACATTAAAAAAGTCAAATTCTTTCTCTTGGAAAATATTCTCAGAGTAGTCTCTCAAGGAAATGTATGTTTTTGTGGAATAGCATTAAAGAAATCCCACTATCGCATACACGACAATTTAATATGCAGCCTAATTTGCATAGTTATTCAATTGAAAGGAAATAATATATATTTATCACGCTGTTTACTTATTGAAAATACCGCCGAATATTGTGTGTCCCGAAAACAAAAATCACAGCTAATTTCTGAAAAACAACGAAAATTAATATTTTATTTGCAAGGCCATATGTTCTGCCCTTTAGCGGTTATATTATGTGTTAATCTCCAAGCGTTTGTTTTCAAGCTTGAGAAAGAAGAACAAAATTGGTCTATCGTTCGGACCGCCCTTAACGAAATCAAGAACAAATTCAAAAAAATATATATTATATTTATCTTTGCGTTTTTCCAGATCGCCATGGCGAATAATTAATGGGAAATTCACAGAGGGCTCTGTACGGCGGCGCAGCTTTTCTTTAAGTGCCCACAAATTTTGATTCTATAATTATATTAGAATTGGTAGGGCTGTTAGCTACTTTTGATGTTAATATAACAGAATTTTGCGACCTCCTAGGGTCAGGAGTCCCACAATAATAGAAGAAGACCAATACATTTTCAACTTATGAGGTATGTCACGTTTTCGGCAAATTCCGGAGGAAGTTAGTTTCGAGAGGGAGAGGAGGAGAAGGTATCTTAGAAAGAAAATTCATAACTCAGTTAAAATTTAGAAAATAAAAATTTTTAAAAATACATTAATTATTAAACCTTTTATTTTTTATTAAACTGTTTGCATGAAAGATGAAACTTGAATTATACATATAAAATGTACATCTCAGGCTGGGTTTGGCGAACGATTAAATTGGGGCTTTGGTGTCTAGCGCCCGACATTGTATAAGCTAAATTGTACGAGGTCCTCAAAGCTTAATTTGCATTATTTTTGGATCCGGATTAGGTTTGGTCCTTTTTTATATGTATGTTGAAAATGGCTCCTTCGCAAAAAAACAAAAAAACATGAAAAAAAAAAAAAAAAAGGAAATGAAAAAGAAGGAAATTGTTGATCCAAATAAATGTGATATTTGTTGATGGGATATAATGGTTAACTGTCACTGAAAATATTACGGCAAAATCGGTGAAGGGCCGAAATTTGCCTTATCCGTTCTTACGCGGACAGCCTCTTAAAATGCTGAGATATCCATAGGAAAGGATGGAGAAGCGAAATAAACGCGACGTACTAGCCAATACGGCAAAACCTCCGACTCACGTAGTCAAATTTCACGCTACGGCTAGACAGGACCCGAGTGGACATGCGCAGTGTCTCATTTTTTGAGAAAATTGACTTCCGGTAGCCGTAGTAGCGCCAGCCGTAGCGATTTGCTTAAACTCCCTATTATTAAAGCTACGACAACGAAGCTTGGAGGATATATACTACGTCCAAAAAGATCTATTTTATAGTATGAAACACGAGATGATGACGTGATATGACGTAGAAATTACGTCATGACTGTCCGAATAGCCATAGCCATGGACCGCCATTTTTGATTTCTTGATTTTTCCAAAACGTCAGAAAACCACCAAAAATGAATCAAAAGTACGAAAAAACCAATAACATAATGCTAAAATTATCAATAAATGCAAAATGTATTGCCAGAAAGTAATTTTCTTTGGAAAAACATGCCTGTCAAAATATGGTTTCCATGGTAACAGCAAGTTCCGTGAACAATGATATGTCATACTAAATTGTTCCCAGATAAATTTTAGGTAAATTCGAAACGTTTGGCGCCTCTTTACTTCAATATTACAAAAGTTGATAACGGTCGGATTCCATCCCCCCGGTACGAATATGATTAAATTTTCCACTGTCCTTCTCTTGAGTTCTCTTTTGGCCAGGCACGTTGTCTCTTTTCTTGTTGTGGATCAGCAAAGGTCTGTTTCGGGAAACGTCGCCAAAGTAGCTTGTAGCTCCATCCAATATCGTCTGCTTCGAATCCAAGTGCTGGACCGATGAAACGTTCATACCTCGAGCTTGTATCACGCTTCGTTGTAAAAATGTAACTGTTATTTTTGTCTTAAATTAATCTCATTGCCGAATTGTTCATGTGTGAAGTACATCGTTATCCTCGACAAAGTATTGCATTGTTGATTTATTTCTTCTGGCTTCATGCTTGTGAAAGGAACGTAAAATGTTTTAATTTTGAAGATATTCTGGAATTCCGTAGTGCTTTTCTTATTTGAGGGACATATGTATCATCAGAAATTATTTACACAATTTAACGGTTCATTTAATGCTCTTCAATTCATTACGTGGATGCCTTACTTGCTAAACTAGACTGTTGAAAAGTATTTCATCCATAGGATTCAGGTGTTGGCATTTAATGTTTCTAATAACTACACGCGACAACACCAAGGCCTTCAAATTCAGTTTGACGCTTTTGACTTTCATTTATACATGTTAGGTTTGAGCCTCACGTAAACTAATGGATATGGGACTATTACACTGTATTGCTACTCCTCCGGATGGTATGACAGTCCATCACAGGTTATTTTCTCAGATTTCTCCAGCAATTTGCCGGTGCTCACTGAATTAATTTTGGATCAGAAGATGTAGAGGCACTGTCAGATTACAAAATTTAGTCAAGAAAAGAAAGTTACAAGAATACTACGTTATGCATCCTGTTTTGCACAAGCAGTCATTTTCCTACTGGGGTGGAGCAACAGGTCATTTTTGTGATCATTGGGGCGGAAAAGGAAGTCAATAATGACCTTTTTGTTCGACTTGTTGTTACTCAATGCTCTAAAGTCGAATAGCGATGTTTCTCGTTTACGTCACCTATTGTTATTAATGTGCCAACCAGAGAACTATTGGCTGTTGAAACAAAGAGTTCTTTTGTTTAATGGTTGGCAAATTTGAATAAACAAAACAAATGTTGATAAACAGTGAACACTCCTATTACATCAGGAAAAATATTCTGAGTCCTCAACGGGGGACCCAGAACCAGAACCCATAACCTTCCGGTTGGATGCTCTAACCACTGAACTATGGAAGACTTGTGGTGAGCAAGGCCATGCAACTATGTAGGTTTATATGTGACACATGCCCTGCCAGTTACTAGGCTCAATAATGTCAAAGTGATAAATGTAAATAATATGTAAAGTGGAATAGCGACTTGGATAAAGTGAATAAATTAATAACTGCTCCCAAGTCGAATAACTCAGGAAACAATTCTGAGTCCCTCAACGGGAGTCGAAGCCATGACCTTCCAGGTACTGGTTGGATGCTCTAACCACTGAGCTATGGAGGACTCATGGTGAGCAAGGACCATGCAACTAGTTTGATATGTGACACATGTCCTGCCAGTACTACAAGGCTTAATAATGTCAAAGCGATAAATGTAAATAATATGTAAAGTGAAATGGCGACTTGGATAAAGTGAATAAATGAATAAATGAATAAATGCTCTCAAGTCGAATTACTCGTGCGGGTGAACAAGGCCATGCAACTAGATTCATAATGTGACATCATGATATGAACCTGTTGTAGTTGCATGGCGTTGCTCACCACGAGTCTTCCATAGCTCAGTGGGTTAGAGACGTTAGAGCGTCCAACCGGTACCATGGAAGGTTATAGGTTCAATTCTCGTTTGGCGACTCTCTGACTCTGGATTTTGTTGTTGTTGAGTAATTCGACTTGTGGAGCATTTATTAACTTTATCCAAGTCGCCATTCCAATTTACATATTATTGAAATTTATCACTTTTACATTATTGAGCAGGAAATGTGTCACATATCAACCTAGTTGCATGGTCTTTCTCACCACGAGTCTTCCATAGCTCAGTGGGTTTAGAGCATCCAACCGGTACCCTGGAAGGTCATTGGTTCGACTCCCGTTGGGGGACTCAGACTTGAGAAACATTTATTCATTTATTAACTAATTACGATCTTTCCACTGTCCCTCTCCTGAGTTCTGATGTTAAGCTTCTTGTGGCGAAGTTCTGTTTTTGGGAAGGCGCGGCATAAATAGCTGTATGCTTTGAATGCCGGTGCTGTGTACCAATGAAACACGAGAGAGAGAAACAATGATAACTTGAACATATATCACGTTTAGTTTCTGTGTAGAAATGTCACGGCTCTTTTTGCCTAATAGTAGATGTAGAGTACTTAATTATCTTCGAAAAAAAAAAGGTTATTGCGTTAAATCTTTAGTCCGCTTAGCGTTTGTATAATTAAGAAGCGTAAGAATAGTATAACTTGAGGAAAATATTAATATCAAAGCGAGAATTGGAGTTTCTCGGGAATTCCTATATGCATGACCTGTTTGGTTTGGGAGAAAATGGCACCTATTTGCAAATTAGTAGCATTAATATTTTCTCTTCATAACACCACTGAAGGAGGGTCCAGTAGTATTATCAAAAACGATTTACATATTTCGGGTTAACGAAAGCCTCAGATAGGACTGTTGAAAAGTCTTTCATCCATGGAATTCAGGTGGTTCAAACAGCTCGCACCTTTGCTGGGTTTTGAAAGTTTTGATATTCTACTCTCTGCGAAGGTAACAGGTTAGGCCTCACCGTGTTTTCGTGAACCCAAATAAATCGTTGTGATAACTAAACGGCTTTAAAATAAACTACAGCTCAACTCAGCGAATGTTTTCGAAAAAACAGATATTTAGAAACTAACCTTTATTCCTTCCACAATCTGAATTATTTTTACTGCAAGTCGCTTCACGGCGGACTATAATCCCGCTCTTATTTCTCGGATTCTGTTCATAATGAGCTAAAAGTCCATAATATTTTCCTCCAAGTTCTAGCCAAGCTTGAACAGCCGATTTAAAATTCGTTATTAATTGATCTACATTGAATTTCCTACGGAATATTTACAGTTTTATGAAAAGTGTTCTCTGTTTTAAAAGATTTTTTTGGAGCAGGGCGCCGCGCGTGTTTTCCCCGCCCATTCGTGACGTCATTCGTCCATCTGTAGTCTAATAGATGACAGCTTTAACCCAATCACTGCGCGAGTTTTACACAGCAAAATTATATAACAAAACCATAGTGCCCTATTAACGAAGTAGCGATAATAGCGGGTTTCTTCCACATTTCTTTAGTTGAAGATTACAAAGAAATTTACTCTCTCATAGGGAATTTAAGTTCCAATCCACAATAAAAGTGTAGTGTTTATAGGATTTAAATTGAAGCTCTCACCGCGCGTATGTATGTGTTTGTTTAGTTCTAAAAACGAAACTTAAGTAAAGTTTCAATGAATACCGATTTATATACTTCCCTGTTTGTATTTGTAGAAGCACCAATGCTCCTTCCACCCGTGGTAGAAAACGATTAATAATGTTGACTACTCTCAGTGTAGGCAAAAGAGAAAATTGAAAATAGCAAGGGAAGGTGTGCGTAGGTGTGTAAGGTGTGTTAAAGTATGTATAAGAACGAATCAATTCTGCTATTATAAATAAATTTTCATTTAATGACTCACTGATTATATACGTAACGTGAAGAGTTTTACATAGTCCTGCAAATAGAATTAGGCAATTTGGTTAGATTTTTACTCTTAGCCTGAATCTCTTATCTTCTGTGATATTTTTAAAAGTCTACAAAGAAATGATTCCTAACTACATATTGGTCATCTAGAAAACTTAAATCGATTTGCTTAACTGATATTTTTCATGAAAATATTCCTTGCGAGCATGCACGACAGAAAATAAATCTATTTCTACAAATAGCAGTACAAGTTAGAAACAAGTAAGTTGCAATGAGCACTAACTAAATTATAATTATATAACTTCTTTCCTGATAACATCCTTTTATATTATATACAACCCCAAAAAAAAAATTAGCTATTATTATTATTATTTCATTTTTTTACTATTAAAAAAAAACTAACAGTTATTGTTACAGGGCATGTTCTCTAGCTGTTCGCACAAAATTAATTAAATAATTAATGTGGTTTTTTTTAAACGTCGTCAGCAAAAGGATACATTAAGTACTTTTTTTTTTAAAATGTGTTGGTTTTTTTTTTATTACGATTTCCCGAAAAGCCCACATTTGGAGGGCGGGTTGGTATTTATTATAATATTTCCATTCTAAAACGCGATCCAAAAATCCCAAATTGTATCCGAAAATATAGAGAGATTAAGCATCGCGTTTGTTTTTCCACCGCGGGAACGCGTGCAAAAAATCCAAACTTGTTGCCCGTTCTGCCGTATTTGCCGTCGTTTCTTATGTTGAAAAAGTGAGTTAGTTTCTAGAAGGATTTATATTTAAAGGGATTCGAGAAAAAATTAAAGAGAAAACAACCCGCAAGCCTGACCTTTAGCACGTTTGCCGTAGAAAGAAATCTTGGTTGCTTAATACTCGATCTAACTAATAGGCTATGACATTTTGATTAAAACGTGGAGAGGGACTGGAGCCGGGAATATTTGTGGTGAAAAGCGTTTTTTTATTAAGTATTTGAAAAAGTCGAAAGGAAATAAAAAAGTAATAATGAGAGTTTTATTTATGAATTGGTAAGGAGACTAGAAAACGGATAAGGAATTAGCAAAAAGGGGCATCAATTTATAGGGTTTTACATTTTTTACCAAGCATGACTGATGCGTGTTATTAGTTTATTTCGCCCGACACATATCCAGTTTTCGAACATGTGGATGGGTTAGGCACTTTTTGAGAAAAAGTCGATCGACGAAACTATAGAGTTAAGTTTTATGGACTATGGTTAGAAACTAATTTAGATTAAGAAAGTGGTACTGTGAAATTAGTCATAGGTGTTATTATGAAATTTAAACTTTTACAAGCCTTGATTACATGCATTCATTTCATCACTTATCAAGCGCAATACTCTGTTTCCACAACATTTGAACAATTAATGGTATAAAGTATTTTGAATAAATAAAAAAAGTCGAAAAAAAAAAAAAAATCAAAGAGAGAGTTTTCGATGGAATTTGGTTTGTACAAAGGCGCATCGATTTATACTGCGTTTATTTGAAAATTCCAAAATAAAATATTTTTACAAGCCTGGTTACACGTATTTTAGCCCACTTTATCAGCCCGAAGGAAAAAAAGAAATACTCTCAACATTTAGTTTAGGTTGATCCTGTCTATTATGGACAACATTTCATTCAAACTGGTTTTTTTTTTAGCTTTGTGATGTAATTCGAATTTTACACACACAACCAGGTCCTCAGGGGCTATACATTGTGTGAAGCAGGGAAGATGGAAGAGGGAAAGGAGAATAGCGGACAGTACTGCATCGTAGTAAAACATCTATAAAAGCCAAAAATCTACTTGTGAATTTGGTGGCGCCTAAGACTCGGAACCCGGCTGTGAGGACGAAAATGTGGTCATTTTATATAAACGTGTTAGTAAAGATAATTTCATATTTTTTTGAAACGTCAGGATTCGAACATGAGGCGTTTACACGCCACCAGAACAGGACACCAAGTAGAATTCATTTACCGCCAAATCGTGTTGTTTACCTTGATACTTCATGAACGGTTTGCTGGGAAGAATAAAATAATTTCCATATTGGTGAGAAACTGAGAGGCAAACGATTAGCTATGTTAAAATTTTTTAGTTCGGTATATATTATACGAACTCAACTGGATATTAT